CTAACATGCATAACATCAGGCCCCACTGCTTAAACTAATGAGTATTTAGAAGTAAAGGCTCCTACTGATTCCAGCCAGTCATTAATTCTCTACTTGCAGAGCCACCGTGGAGTTTTTCATTGGCCACATTTTTCAGCCCTTACAAGTTGCTTCTGAGCAGCAGTGCTGACCCTTGGGTTCCTGTGTCACACAACAGACACATAATGGGCTCGAAAGTCCCCTTGGAAGGAATTTTGATGGGTACCAGGAACAACGGCAAAGAAGATGCATATTCTGGTCTCAGAACTCGGCTTTAGGGGATTTAATTGACCTTGAATGAAAATGTTTCTTTAAGCCAATAAATAACCTGGTAGAAGAAGGTGAGTGGGGGTGAATCACAATTTCTCTTCAACTAATTGCACAGTCAGAGCTACAGTTTGTAATAATGATGTTTGGTCCATTATCACTCCAGGTTTATTTGCTAAATAGCTTCATTGATCTTGCCTCAGTGGGTTTTCCATTTCTACATGTTACATTCTCTTAGGAATTGAAAAGCTCAGTGTCTCTGAAGATGCTCAGTCAACTTGAAAAGACTCATTTTCGGAAAGGTCTTGACCTGCCTTCAACTTGAAGCAATTCAAACTTTGCCTAAACAAATATTAGGATAGAGACTCATCACTTGAGAATATGTTTAATATCATTTGAAAGCTGCTTGTCTGAAAAACCATTTACAGACTAATTCTGCAAGGCATTCAAAATTAAGGAATCTGTATTCTTAACTAAAAAGAATATACAAATAATTGGGAACATTTATTATTCAATGGACTCTACATTATTAAACATCATAAATATTTTGTGAAACCTCACTATTTCATTAAGTTGGTATCCAAGACTCCCACTGTGGAACTTATAGCAAAATCATAAGGAACGGGACTGAGATATGAGGAACAAAAGGAAATTTATGAAGCAGTTTTCATGCAAATTAAGATAAATAAATCCAAGTTGAGAGGCAAGAGTTTTATTTTCTTTTTATTTAGAGAGATTTCATTTTGTTCATCAATCAATAATTCCCTGCTATTTGAAAGAAGGAAAGACAATTTAAATATGCTACTCTCATGACTCAGGTGCCAGTACAGTCTGGAAATTCTACAGCCCCAAAGAACCAAACTTCAAACAGCATGGCATAAAAAACAAAGATCAATAATGATTTGCTTGACATTGATTAGATCAAAAAGTAGGCAGTATGTTTAAATTATGACTATTCTTGAAAGTGACAGTGCTCATCTTTTTATTGTCTAAAATTTTGAACTATTTTAGTAAGCACCAAATTCAATCAATAGACTTCATGAAGGCTTAGAGTAGAAAATTTGGGACTGAGGTGTCACAAGACCAGAAACTGGAGGTGGGGGTAGAAATGATTAACACAGTTGTTAAACCAGCTATAGAAATGAAAAATACTTATGGAGGTCAAGGCTGGGAGGTGGGATATGGGAATTGTCAGTCTATACAAAGAACTGCTATAGAAAAATATCCGTAGGCGTGGAGATGTGGAGATTGAGGGTCATTACAGAGAATCACTAGTCCTTACACATGAACCCAATCATACCCTAGAAGTGATTGATTTAACAATAGATCACAATTCCACAAAGGAATGAATCTCCCCCCCACACACCGCCGTCCGGCCCCAAAGAACACTGAATTGAACAACTCCTGCCCTGGCAAAGGGCACCTCTTCCTGCCCAGTTGTGTCTTATTTCCTTTTTTTTTCCTAATAAATCTGCCCTTTTGGACATAACTTTCATTTGTCTGCATCTGGGAAAATGTCACCTCTTTGGCAAACTTATTGCATGCTGTTGAAAGGAGAATTCTGCCAAAACATTTCTTAGAGCACCCCATTCATCTGAACCCCAACATTTCATCAGCACCCCATTTGACTTATATTATCTATTACTTTTCAAACAGGTCCAAATGGCTCAGATGCTTAGGTTAAAGGGTGGGGGGGGGTGGAGGAAGAAAATATACACAAAACTAATCATCTGCTAACAACACCCACATTTTACAACAATGACTCAGCAAATCACTTTGTTGTGAACTTCAACAGTTTTTCATCAGTTTCTTGTGAAAGGCATGATTTGAAATGACTTTATCAATCATTCCCACAGTCCCCGGATACTAATACTGAAAAACAATGTATTCTTAGTACAAAACATGTGCCTACATGAACCTGCAGCTCACATAGACATCTATAGGCAGAGCCTGCTCTTCCGTCAAAACGAGATGTTAGCAGTTAAAAATATAAGCATATGCAAAGGTTGTGAAACGTCTTTAAAAATTATCCTGGAACAATGACAAGAGTTGGGATTTCTCTTTTTCAGTGGAAAGAGGAAGCTAAGAGTTCAAGTATATGCAAGGTGATGAAATGTTAAAAAAAATATTCTGGAATAATTCCCTTTTCAGAGGGAAGAGAACAGGCAGAAATTCCATCCGGTTTTCCTGCTGCCCTCCTTAGTTTTGTGTCATAGGGTTTATTTGTGCTGAAAACCAGTTATCTACTGCTTGAAACCTGAGCAGAAAGGCATCAGCATTTTGGGACCACCTGGGACCAAGGGGGGCTGGGAGAGTTCCAGATGGATCGTAAGACAATTCATAGATATTTACATAACGAGGATAAATGTTTTTCCTAAGATAGCATATCCCTTCGGTGCCTTGAGACCACCAGCAGAAGAGGGAGGTACAGAATTTCTATTACATTAATAGTCTTTGTTTTTACGGCTTTGGCATTTATTAACTAGTGGGAGCTGTTTATTGGGTCATAAACTTTACTAATGGGGATATTATCTCTAAATTATAAATCTTCAGTATAGGACTGTTATAAAAAGAATAATTATTTAAAGTGTCTGTTTGACTGCAATGTATCATGTTTATCGGCATGATTCCTATAACGGCCATTTAATTGCTAATAGTGAGTTTGAACTGCGAACAACCAGGAAAGTGACATACATCTACGCAATAGAACCAGCAGTTGTCACATTACAAACTCAGAAGCCTATTGCTGGCTTGCTTCCTTACTTTTCTTCTTCCACTTCTCAAATTATATCATAAGCCCACAGAGAGGCTAAATTATCTACCTATTTAAAACCTTGAGGAAAAGATAACTGAAGAGTGGAATCGGTAAATGATAAATGTGTCAGCCTGAAAAGTTCCAGGTAAGTGTCATCTTTCTAAAAGCTTGCTCTCTGGGGAATGGAAAATCTTAAAGTGACAAAATGACTCGGCACTGTCAATTATCTTCCAAAAACAAAGAACACACAAACTTGGGCAAAAATTAAGTAGTCAAAATTATGGATAGATGGTTCTAGTACATAGAGTACCCTCGTTTATTGGAAAGTTCTATGGGTTCTATTCTATAAATGGCACATATAGAATTAACCTAGGTTTATATATAGAGAGAGAAATAATTTTAATTAAAAAACTGAAAGAGCCATTGTTGTCACACAAATTCTGCATCTGAGTGCCAAAAAGTCCACCTCTTTGGGAGACAAAGTGAAATGACAAATATGGTGTGAATCAATGAGCTGGAAGGAGCTTTCCATTTCTCTTCCTTTCTTTAGAGTCATCCTTGAAAGGGTAAAGGTACAGTCCCTTCTGCATGGGCTTCCATTGTCTTTGAGAATACAGCAGTCAACAATGAAAAATGGGGTAAATTGGGACAGACTTCTTACAATAAATTCCCAGAGTTCTATGCCTATGGGTTTCAACTAAATGTACACTACATGACAAAAGTTCTACTGAGACTCATAATGGATAGACCTAGAAGAAAAAGAAAAGTAAGACTTAGAGAAATATAGGAGGGAAACATGTTGTAGTCTTAAAATTTTTTTTAAATGTGTTTCAAAGAAGCCACTTTTTTAAAAAAAAAAAAAGATTTATTATTTATTTATTTGTTTGTTTGTTTGTTTGTTTATACAAGCACTGAGTACAGTCAGAAGCGCGGGAGGGTGAGAGAATTCACCAGAGCCAGAGTGGGGAGCATAGCAGGCAGAAGGACGGAAGCACACTGCTGAGGGGAGCAGCGGGCGGCAGGAGAGGTCTGCGCGCCATGTGGGACCCTCCTCTGGTGGCCGGGGAGCAGCCGGGGATGGAACCAGAGCCACAGAGGCCGCAGGCAGCCTCACAACCCAGCGCTCAACCGCTGCGCCACCGGGGAGGCCCTGTAGTCTTAAAATTTTTAAACCTCCCTGAGGTGGGCAGGGGGTGTGCGTGTAGAATGAACCAGAAAAGATTTCTCAAAATCTTCAGCATTCACATCTGACTGTGGAATTGAGGCTATAAGAGGAAGAGGGAAGGAACACAGGTGGGAAGGGGTCATAATGGTTTATGGTGAAGGACTACAGGTGCCTGGGAGGTGGCTGTGGTGTGGCGACAGGCATCTGAGGAGGTGTGATCTTGTACCTCTGAATCACATTCAGTGTTGTAAATCAATGTTACCTCAATAAAAACAATTTTTGAAAATAAATCTTCAGCATTTACATGCCTAAATATTTTAGATATAATACATGTTGGTCATACTATAATAATATGCACATGAATATATTCCGAAGTTAGCAAGCTAACTTTATATCTAAAAGGGACATTAAAAATATAAATACTGAATATGTTTCAATTTCTCTGCCCAAATTGTGTGTGTGTGTGTGTGTGTGTGTGTGTTTTGCAGGGGTAGAGAGCCCTTTTCTTTGAATAGCTTTGTAAATTTCAGAAAATAAATACCTCCACTCCAGAGAGGTTTCAGGATTATTTAGATAAGGGGGATTACCACAAAGCTTAATTATACAAGTAATAAATGTGTCAAAAAGATTTCAAAAATTTTTAATAGAATCACAACTTATTGCTCTGATGTAATTTGATTTTATATTGTCATGTGTAGCTGTTAAAAGTCACTTTCTTTTTGTGTTGTAATGAATCTAATTATGTTGAATAGAAAATTACCATAAGATTCTTTGCTATTAATAAATCAAACATATAATAAAAATGTTCAATGGTTCTTTAAATGGCATTTTTAATAGTGTTAGTACATCAGCAATATAATATGATGTTCTGAGAAACTAAAATGACAAAAGGAGATTAATTGTGGTTTATGGATTGAAATTTAATATGAACTTTGTTCCTTGTTTTTAATATGAAATTGTATTTGAAAACTGAAATTTACTTGTCAAAATCAGAGAAGGAAATCAAAGGGAGCTGATGAAAACTGGCCTGGTTAGTCGTCCTCCAAGCCATACACATCCTTTATAAGGGTGAAATAGTCGATGTATTTCGCAGGAATAGGTGATGGCATCCCAAGCCACTCATCTTCACATCTCTAAGAAGAAAAACACAGATATAAATTACAACCACATTTCAAACCATAGTTCTGTAATCACAACATCAAATTGTTTTTGTCTTTAGATAAGCTTTTGTAAATGGTTTATTTTCAAAATCCACTTTTCTACAATCTACTTTGATTTTAAGGCCTTTGTGGGAGATTGGATTCTTGTGCTATATTCTTCATCCCTCTCTGTATTGGAATTTTATACCTGCACTCTTTGCCATGTGACTTGGTAGAATCCCCTATAGAGTATTTCTTGTCCTTCTGATACTGGTTGAGCCGCATAACTGGCTTTGGCCTATGTAATATTGGTGATTGTACCATGCACTCTTACCCTAGTGTGCTAGCGTGATTTGACTTTGTCTTTTCTGCCTCTGCCATCTCCATGAGAAGAACATGTCTGCTGGTCCCAGAATGACACAGGTAGAGCAGATTGTGCCCAACTTAGAGTCTGTAGCTAAGCTTAGTTGACTGATACACCAACGGACAAGAAGAATAAATGTTTGTTGCTGTGAACGACTGAAATTTTGGGGGTTGCTCGCTATGCAGCAGTATTGGTGCAATAGCTCCTCCCACACTTTATTAAAAATTTAATTTTTAAAATCTAAATGGGCTATTTGTTACTGTTTCTCCAATCTAACAATGAAAGTCATATTTTAAATTTGACCTTGTTATAGAGGAATATAGCACAAATATATACATTCAAAATCACTATTCCCTAATAGGTTTTTTAAAATAAAATCTTTCAATACAAAAAGAATAAAATATAGGACACATTGGAACTGCTGTCAGGATTGTAGCCAATCCTCAATTGTAGGGATTTTTATAAGTACTAGTTTAAATGGATTAACAGGAATCAAATTGGAATCCAAAGGAGGGAAGAAGTAGGAGGCATGGGGCATTAATAAAGTAGACGGGAAAGGTATCTTCCTCATAATCTTGCCTATAATGGACTATCTAAATGGAATATTATTCAGCAATCAAAAAAGATAAACTCATGCCATTTACAGCAATGTGGATGGAGCTAGAAGGAATGATGCTCAGTGAAATAAGCCAGAAGGAAAAAGAAAAATATCGGATGGTTTCACTTATAGCAGGAATATAGGAGAACCAAATAGGACATCAGTGTAAAAAAATAATAGCACAAAACACAAGCAAAAGCAAAAACAGACAATTATAAATCAGAGACATCCTGCAGGGGAGGAGGAGGGAGAGGGATCAGAGGGAGGGAGGAGCACAGGGGACTGAGGTGATGGTGCACGGGTGCACTGGTGAAGGAAACTCTATGGGGACTACACCTGAGTGGGTGGGGGAAGCAAATATTGTTTAAAAATGAACAATGAGGGCCTCCCCGGTGGCGCAGCGGTTGAGCGCTGGGTTGCGAAGCTTCCCGCGGCCTCTACAGCGCCGGTTCGATCCCCGGCTGCTCCTCGGCCACTGGAGGAGGGTCCCACATGGTGCGCAGACCTCTCCTGCCACCCGCTGCTCCCCTCAGCAGTGTACTTCGGTCCTTCTGCCTGCTCTGCTCCACGCTCTGGTGAATTCTCTCACCCTCCCACGATTCTGACTGTACCCAGTGCTTGTATAAACAAAACAAACAAACAAACAAACAAATAAATAGCATGCCTCTATAAAAAAAATGAACAATGATATGAAAAATAAAAAAAATTGATTATTAAAAAATAAAAATGTTAAAAAAATAAAGGGATCACATGACTAATCTCTTTGAGAAAAAGTCTTTGGTGATAAGAGAAATCCCTGTATTACTACTGCCTAACTACTCTGAATAAATCCACAAATGTCCCAAATGTTACAGGGCAGTGAGCTAAAATATTCTTTGTTTTCACTACTCTTTTAGTCATCCTTTCTTACAAAATATAAAGAAAACTCCAGATCACACTGTTTTCCAAGCAGTGCATGCAAATTTTGAGTGGAGATAACTATGTGATAATTTCAGAACAGCAAAGCTCATCCACTCCAGTCTCGCCCTCCAATCCTAGAGGAGGTGAACCTACTTACGTTGCTGGAGAACAGCCCCCGATGCTGGATGTTTGGAATCTTAACGACACTGTGCACAGCACATGCCAGCCTGACTGCCACAACCAGTACCCGAGTTCCTTTGCCTGAGAGCTTTTCTTTGGCCTCTGAGACCCACTTTTGGCTGCGTCCGTGACATGCCACAAGTGCCTGGGAATTAATTCTTTTCCTCACTTCAGGAGCAGTCACCAAACAGTGACTGATAGGAGTTATAGATGAAAACCACAGCTTCTTTGCACTTTGGGTGGGATAATTCTGAGGTACCTACCTATGGGCTACTGGATCCATATTCCCCAGAGATATTAAGCTCCAGTAATCCACACTGGGTGCTTGTGTAATATGCCCTATATTAGCTCCTTCTCTTCTGTTTCTCACTCCCCACTACCTTGCTAATGTTCCTTTCATTTTCCAAAAAAACACTATCTACATGCAAATCCTTGTCTCCAAGTCTGTTCCCAGGGGAAGTCAAAGACATTATGCAATTTTTCATTTATCAACATTAATAAAATGTCTGTGAAAGTCACAGCACAGCTTGGAACAAAATAACTTCCTGACAAACTGTGGATGGATCCAGAGCATCCAATGTGACTTCCAGATAACTCAAGTGATAGTGCCCAGATCTCAAAACAAAATTTGATTTAATCTGGAGCATAAACAATATATGCACATAACATTTTCTGGAAGAGCTATGACACAAGAGTGAAATTCAACAATGAAACCAAATCATGACTCAAAAATAGCTGGGAATCATTGTCTGTAAGAGGGTCACATGACATTTCCAAGTTGGCTGTCACTAGAGCTACTTTAGATGTCAAAAAAGTTGGCAATAAATTACTTGTTCATCAATGGTGAAAAAATATAGCTGCCGATCTGTAAAATCACACCCCCTTGCAATGGGAAGGAAAGACAGTACTGGAGAGAAACCCAGTAAACAGCAGCTGCCCAGTGAGAACAGCAAAGCTGTGTGTGAGCTAATGGGCCCTGGGTTTATTTGCTTTGACATTTTTAAAAGGAAATTTAATTGGATTATGTCTCCTTCTAGTTTAAAATTTTCTACTGTAGTACTGGCCACCAGATGCATGAGGGGGAAAGATCGGGAGCCAATTAAATTCCACGCTTCAGTGAAACAAGGTTATTTTTATTCTTCCCAAATGTAAGGCTGATAGAGTCATGTTAGTGATTTCACCCTGTTATGCCCCTCTAGTAGCTCAAAAAAGGAATGTTTCTATGGGAAAGATGTACGAAATTGTAGAAAAGTCCAGTAGTGTATATGAATCCCAATGATTTACTTGGATTCTCTTTCTTCTTGTAAGATTGACATGAATTTAGAAATAAGTTGACAAAAATCATAAAATGATTAACTTTTTGCAAATTCAAATGAAAGTAATCAAGAGCATTCTGACAACATAAGAAAAAATGCATAAATAAAACCAGGAGATTTGCTTACATCCCTTATCCATTTCTGTCTTTATTGTAATACCAACATTTCAGTCACTTCCCTTAGCCCTAGACAAAGCTTCAGTAAAGTTGTCATCTGTGTGTAAGTGTAGTTTAAACACAGGTGTGGCTTCTAAGAAACCTTTTCTGGAAACTGCTTTATAGGGCCAATAAAGTTTTCAAGGAGACATAGATGTTTCTGAGCTCTAACAACAGGCTTATGCATATAATACAAGTAGATATCATCTAACATTTTAAATCTACATGGATCCTAGCAGTCCTATTTCCAACTAGGTTAATTTTTTGTGTTAGGTAATTGGCATGTATTCACCATTTTTTTTTTTAAATCTAATGAGAATGATTAATAATCTTTTATTTCAATTTGTAAATTCAAACTCAAATATTAGAAATAAATTTGCTTATTTAAACAGTTGGCACTGGTCCCTGACTCTATAATGTTTACCTTCAGGACTGTCTTTGTGTCTTAGCTTCCTGTCTATAAATTGCAAATGAGATTTTTTCTCAGAAGGTTGTTGGGACAGTAAAATGTCATAGGTATTCCATCCTTTAAATACCAAAAGAAGATCCTCAACAAGTGGGGTGTCCAAAGATGTATCCCAAGGTGCACTGAACTACCCCCTACTTCCCACTGCCAAGGTTATATATCAGCCTATTGTGACAAGAGAGCGCTTTTGAGCCAATTGCTAATGCTTCTGCAGTTCCAGGGCTCATAAAATGAAGCCACATCCAATTTTTCTCAGAAATGTCAAAAGATAAGATGCCAGTCACACAGTGCAAGTTATAAAGTTTATATGAGAACCGATTTAGTGCTATTTTTTAAAACGTGACTTCTGAGATTAACCAGACAGGCTCTAAACAGTGAGACCTATTTTGCCAGTTTTACAGCTACCATCTGTGAGCAAGCACAATAGAATAGAAATGGGGTCTCCAGGGCGTGACAGCACCAGGGCAACATGCTGAGACCATAGATAGTCACATAATGGAGTGAGAGTTAAATTACAGCCCCAATGGCTCACTATGGGCTGCTGTGGGGGCCAGGCAGAGGCCCGGCCAAGGGAGCTCCTGAGAATCCAGGCTACAGTCAATAGTCATGGCTGGTGACCATCGGCTTACATGTATGCACATAGGAAAACATCTTAACAAAGGACAGTAGGACTAATTGAGCTAGACTAGCTATAGTCACAGGCCTCTCTGCAAATTTTGCTTCTTTATTGCTGGATTCCACTTCTATTAGATGAAGTCACTTGACCATGATACACACTGGAGCCACACTGGGAGTCAAGAGTGGCAAATGCTGACAACTGGAGCTTTACTCTGACCTGGCCTTATACCCTGGCTGTGAAGCTTGTTCACCTGAGCTCAAGCCTTTATTCTGGTAACAGACTATGCTGGGTCACTCTCCATTATCCCTCAAGATCCACTTTCTGCCTTTTCCACCTTGTTCTCCCCTGGGAGGCCAATCTCTGTGGACTGCATCACTCCCTGGGCATCCTTGCTCT